GAGATGATCTAATTACCACTCCTTGATGTTTAATGGTGTCACCTTCACAGCATCTCCCACACATCCTTGGGGGGACCATTGGCCAGAAACTCAACCAGATGTCACAAAAAGTGGCTAAGAGCAGGTCAAAAGCTAGGAGTATTGTAGGGAGTAACTCACCTCCCTGACTCCCCAAAAACCATCCACCATCGACAAGGCACAAATCTGTGATGGACATTCCCCACTTGCCTGGATGCATACAGCTCCAACACAAGAAGTTTGACATTATCCATCACAAATCAGCCCATTTGATTGGTACCACATCCACAAGCATCCACTCCCTCCATTACCAATGCTCAATAGCCAAAGAATATACAAGATGCACAGCAGAAATTCACTGAAGATCTTTCAATAGTAACTCCCAAACCCAAGGCCACTTCCAACTAGAAGGACAAAAACAATAGATACATGAGAACACCACCACCACCTGCAAGTTCCCATCCAAGCCACTCACCATCCTGACTTGGAAATATTGTCATTGTTTCACTGTTGCTGGGTCAAAAATCCTAGAATCCCCTCCCTAATGGCACTGTCAGTCAACCCACAGCGTGTGGATGACAGCTCAGCACCCCTTCAAGGTCAACGGAGGACAGGCAATAAAAATGCTGGCCAGACAGCAACGTGCACGTCCCATAAGTGAGTAAAAAAGTTCTCTACATTGCCCAGACAGAAAAGGTTTCTAGGGCGACTAGGGCTGCTTTACAGTTAATTGGTTCAGGTAGCTAGGCGTCTGTCTGGTTTCATTTTATTTTGAGACTTTCCAGTGATTATTACAACCGAGTGGTTTGGTAGGGCAGAAGGCAGTTAAGAGTCAACTACACTGCTGTGGGTTTAGAGTTCCATGTGGATCAGATGTATTTTTCCAACAAATCAATATTACACACTCTGGACTCTACTTTGGTCTTTGGATTAATAATCCAGCCATAATAGCACTTGGTCATCACATTCCCCAATATCTTATCACCAGTCTCATGCAGTTTTCAGATCCTTTAAATCAACATTTTAAAAACTTATTTTTGTTGTTACTTTTACTTTCCACTATGAACCTCACCACAGTTACAAGACTAATGCCTGAACTTGTCTTCTGGTTCTTGATTCATGCATTTGAAATAAATCCAATACTGCATTAATTACCCACTGAGAGCTCAAGTGTTGCTTTACAAAATAAATGTTTTATTCCTGATTTAAACAAACTGCTCGAGTAACTCAGCAGAACTGAGACTTCTGAAAAGTAATTTGGACTCATTAACTTTCTCTCTTCACAAATGCTGGAGTTGAGTTTCTCCAGCATTTGGTTTTCACTTCAGATCTTCTGCATCTACAGTACTTTAGTACAATTTAGCCAATAGTCCTAATTTAAACCTAAAACCATGAGCTCCAGCTGAAATTAATACCATCACAATTACTACTTAGATCCAAAGCTATAATCAGCAAGCAGTATTTAATTGCAAGTTTTGAAGTGAAGCTGGCATAGTAGGTACATGTTGCAACTAAAGCACGTGAGTGAGTTCATGGACATCTATGCAATCTTCATTTGCATCTCCATTATGAATCTGCATCACAGGATTTCAGTTCAAACTTCAAGTTGGATTCCAAGCTTCAAGTACAGCAAGGCAACAGAGAAGACATTACTTTCACAGAGTCACACCCCCTTAGGTTAAGTACAATAGGCTAGTAATCAGGGACAGGAGGACATGCTGAGAAGTGAGTCAGGTATGGGGATTGCAGAAGACAACCCTAGAGGAGTGCCAGACCTGGCACTTGTCCAACAGGTAGGCAGTAAGCCTGTGGGGGCAAGAACAGGGACTCGCAGGAAGATAGGCAAATTAAGGCCCCTTAAGCAAGGGGCCTTAAAAGCTGGGGGAATAGAAAACATAGATAGTAGGGGTCTAGTCTGTACCCAAAAACACAGATCCTAAAAGCTGTGTCACAGGAGACAGGATTAAGGATATATCCTCAGCAATGAAAAAGAAGGTACATTTATCATGTCCACGTAGGCATCATAGGCCAGTTAACCTAAAATCAGTCACGGAATTTGGCAGAATCCATTTAAGTAGTAATAGCAGGATATTTAGACCATAACAAAGTCAACAATATTTTATGAAATAGAAATAATGTTTGACAAATTTTAGAGCTCTTTGTAGATGTAACAAGTACTGTGCAGACAGACAAACCACGATGTAGTGAACATTGTAGCACCTGTTTGGAATGCCAGAAAAAGTTGGAGTTAATGATAAAAGGAGGAAACATGTCCTACAAATTAGCCAGAGGATCAGGATAAATGGACCATTTTCAGGTTGACAAACTAATTATTGGAGTAATAAGACCACAAAAAAGTGGAACAGGAATTGGCCCAGAGCCTTCTCAGTCTTTCATTAAGAGCATGGCAGATCCAAAATTTCTCACATCCACTCCTGCATTTTCTCTAACTCTTGATTCAAATTATTAGAAAATCTTTCAGCTTTAAACATAAACAAGGTCTTCGCCCCACAGCTCTCCATGCACCAGGCTCCAAAGCCCTAACCTAAAAAATCCCTCTTCATCTCAAAGTTATATTGGCATTCCTTTATTCTGAGACACTGCCCTCTGGTCTAGACTCTCCCACGAAATATTGTCAGCAATCCCTGTCAAGCCAAATTTGCTGATATGAAAGTAGATTGGAAAGCAGGAGGATAGAGTCTGCAAAAGGATACGCAACCAAGCGGGCAAAAATTTAGCAGTTTATGGGGAAGAGATGGGTTTAATTGCATTCTGTAGGAAGACTAGGAAAGCAATGAGATCTAGCTGTCCCAACTCCAATACTCAATTGTTATGATCAATGAAGGCAAGCACGTCAAACACCTTCACCACCCTACACCTGCAACTCCACTTTCAAGGAACAATTCACCTGCACCCCGTAGGTCTTTGTTCAGCAACACTCCCCAGCGTCCTACCATTTACTGTATAAGCCCTGACCAGTGTTAAAAAAAAATCAAATTCTAAAGGATTCCAAAAAGGAATCCATTTGTAGTTATTTTAATCAATATGTTCAGACATGCTATGACATGTCTAAAGCTAATGCAATCTGAACCCAGACATTCCAGCCCAGAGGCAGGATCACTACCACTACACCACAAGACCCTTTAAATAAAATTTGTACAACTGGAAAAGTTTAATTGAAATTATTGATCAATCCTCTGTAGAAGTGATAATGAAAATACCTTGAAACCATTCAATGTAGGAATCATTTCTAACAGTTAAGAAAATCATACCAATGCTACAAAGACATGGCTAGGCTTAATTAGATTGGAACAGAATTTCCAACTAAAACTCAAATGTTGTACTTATCTATCATAAAATTAACAGTACCATAAAAAAGGGTATGTTGTAGATAACAATTTCCATTACAGAGTGTCATTTAGGAACATGAAAGACTATATACAGCTACATTTTTTAGGGAATTAGATTATTCCAGATTTCCAGTGGAAGCCAATAAAGCACCAACCTTAAAAAGAAAGGCAAGACAACAAAATTTTAATTATTAGTTCAATACATGTCGTAGAAAAAGAATTGCTGAATCACATTAACAAAGTTATTAGCAACATGCAACTTAAACCTTAAGAGACAGTCTTGCTGTCCCAACCTGCTAATCTCAAGTCAATCAGGTTCACGGATGAAGGTACGCAGCATGACCGAAAGGGAAAGACTTTATGAACACGTGGTCATTTTCTGTTGCTATATTTGCACTGTTTGGAGGTACTGAATTTATTAGCCTAAGTTACAAAAACATTGTGCGCTCTTAACAGAAATAAGACATGAGCATAAAAGCAGAGCACACATAGCTGGTCTCAATATTGGCATCTATGCAATAGAATGTTAGAAGAATTAAGATTAATATTGGCCATATACAAATACCATGAAAATTAAGTACCTCAGATAAATTTAGATCCTTGCTTTTAAAATTATGGAAAAATTTCCCATGGACAGTCATTAAAAATTAGGTTCACTTAACATTAAACTGAATAGGTTCATTTAACATGGAGTGATTGAATGAAAATACTGGGTGCATTTTTCTATTCTAATGAATTTCTGACCAAGGTGAAAATCTGAGTCTTTGGACAAACCACAGTCTAACTTTGAATTTGTGTAATTTAAGAAAGCAGGAGACATTCAGCATGGCAATCAAGTTTTCCATCGCATTAAGGTGATAAGCGAGCATTTAATGCTAGTAAGACTACAAATAAAGTGTGCACAATTGCAAATAAACTTCAAAACACCACAGACGCAATATATTTTTCCATGCCCTTTTAATGGTTGTGCCACAAACATTTCTTTTCACGTTATTTGTTAACAAATAATGTTTTAATTCTGCCAGCATCAACATGTTACGTGGAGTGATCAGGTTATAACAGCATAAACACCAACAATTCCCAAAATATCATTGAAGTGGCATACATGCAAAACTAAACCACAAAAAGATGCAATTTCAAGCAAAGAAAATGCAAACTATATTATTAAATAGTCTTAATTATATTTACTAGCAAGTACAAAAGAGTTAGAAAAATTTTAACACTTCAAATCCTCCTGTAAATTAAAGCTAATTTGCATTCATTTAGCTATAAAAATTTGGATTAGAGTGGAATAATCTCTCTAGATTCAAAAAGGTAAATAAATGCTCAATGAAAACGGTTACACAGGAAAGTGCATCAATAAATTCATAATACAAAGACAACTCAAATCAATACCAGATGGTCCTACTCTGTGGTCCCGTCAAAGTAAACTCCAAGTATGGCATAAACATCATTAGATTACTGGTGCCATAACAAGCAGCAAAACTAAATTTGACCTAAACAATGTAATGCATAATGCAAAGTTCCTTCCAGGATTCTCAATTGTTTTCACCCATGAATGCTCATCCATTTTCATTTCTTAAATATGACGGAATATTTATTTGTTATCCAACCGTAGTAGCTGCTCCTTACCATTTATTGTTAAAGATTTTAATTGACCATCTTCCTCTACTTCCACTCTTTCTTGGCCATTTTCTACAATCCTGAAAGTTAGAAAGATTAACTTTGGTTAAGTCACAAATTGCATTTGAAACATCGATACATTAAAAAGTAACATGTTAAAGAAGAGTGAGCCACAATTTTCACTTTTTCAAAATAGATTTGTGTTAATATCCAATGATAGAATTATTGTAAATACAGCAAACCTTTTATTAACTGGAATTTATGGGACTAGAAAAGTGTGCTGGTTGATCAAACAAACATTCTGGATAATCAAGGAGGTCCACATAATCAGGTAGAAAGATATCAAGTACGAGAAATGTTATGCAGCGGGTATACATGTCACTGCTATACTTTATAGTACACATCACAAACACTAATAATACAACTTTGTCTTAAATAAAACTTAACGACAAAGAGCCTTCTCAATCACCCTCAACCAACTATTGATAGTGTTAGATTGCAGTAGAGGGAGAAACTGATTGAAAATTATATCAACTGTCAATATTTTGTGGCCATTCAACTGAACAATTTACTTACATAGAGGCAGATACATTTACAAAATTATAGTAATTAGACTGAATAATATAGTAAACTTCACAGTATTTGAGGTATAATTTTTGCTGGTTTATGTAGTATGCCAGTTTGTACAAAATTTGCTGTACCTGATAAGAGGCTACCAACTCAGATTTACTTTTGACTTTAGTCATAAAAAGCAACAACTTCACAACAGGCTTCACAGGTTTTGTTAGTCAAAAACTAAAGTTCAGTAAAACTATCTAGCTAGTTGGTAGGCAAGAGTCAATTGTGAATCTTAAAATAAATTTCTGAAATACCTCTTAGTGGTGATTTTCCTGCCATTTACAAACTTGGTAGATGTTGATACTGATCGGAAGTTGCCCATTCCACCACCACCACCAAATGAGGAGGATGAGAACGATGCTGTTCCAAGATTACCAAATGAACTGAATGAAGTAAAACCTAAAATAGGAAGTACATGTTTAGGTATATAATGCTTATTAAAAACAATTACTTAATAGAAATTGCATTTCATGCAGGTTTTGGCCATGTACTTCTCTATCGACTAGGTTCACCCAATAGAAAATTCAATTAAAACCACATTGAAAATGCAAAGCCATCGAACTTTTCTGGAAAGACATTCAGCCCTTTTTGCAGGCAAACCATACAACTTTCGAATAGGTCTATAGCAACTCAGTCACTTGACTGCTGATCACACAATCCTTAATTGAGGAAAGATCCAGGATATTACTTCACCAGACCCAAGTACTACAGGACAGGGAGTGTCACCTGATTACTAATAAAGGGGTGTGGACTAGTAATTCATGCACAAGATCAAATCCTGTCACCACTGGGGCATTTAATTTGTCAATTAAATAAGTCTAGAATAAAAAAAACTCGTTTAAGTACTGATGATAATTAAACTACCAGATAGTGGACTTCCTTACATGGAATGGTCTGCGTAGGATTCCAGATTCAAACATGGACTCATGCCCTCTGAAGTGGCTAACCCAATGGCTCAACTTTTTCAACATCTAACTGATTACTTGGTTTTGATCTAGGCTTTGCATATGACCGTGGTATAGTCAGCTCAATCAACTCTGCACAATTAGAGTTTGCACTAAAATTAATAGATGCCAAATGAAGTTTGTTTGAAATTGCACTTTTCAGCTAACGATCCAGGCTCAATACCGTCCCTCAGTATGTTCTGTTCCGATGGAGAGGGGGAGGGGGAGCAGCACTGGCAGTCTCAAAATTGACTTTGGAACCCATTTTCTCATGTCATCAGGTAAAAAATGGGAAACAAATTTGATTGCTGCTCTGAGCTGATGAGTTGCGCCGATGAGTCAATACTCCACGATGAGCACCATGAATTGCAGCACTACAGATAAGAGTTACTAAGCTACTGATTGGGGCACTGAAGTGCCCTCATTAAGTGGCTTGATAACACAGTGAGACGGTCAAGCTACAAAAGATGTAGTTGCCAGACAAAACCAGTGATACATGACGAGAAGAAAGAACATGCAAGAGCAACCGCATTTCCCTCAACAATCAAGTGCTTCAACTACATCTGCTCATGACGATGACCATCTTTGAGGAGGTGACATCCCACATTAACTCAAAGGACACAATCCATGTCATGGTACACTATCACAATCAAATGTCAAATAAAGAAGTAAAGAACTCAATTTGGACATTCATGGGGAATTGTGGTCAGAATTTGTAAGCATATCCGTCACTCTACCATTGCCATCAAGCTAGCAGACTAACCCTGGTTCAACGAGTAGAACTAGCTAGAATACATGCCACACCACACATCTATAAAGATGCCAATCTTATACACTTGCACAAAAGTACACAAGAAACTGCAGAATAGTACTGAATTAAGTGATCCCATAACCAGAGAATCACATCAAAGCTCTGCACAATCCTTCCTTAGTCATGAACGGTGGACAATTAAACATCCAGGAGGACACAGCTCCACAGACAGCCCCATTTTCCTCAATGATGGGAGAATCTAGTATTCTTGTGCAAACGGTATGGAGCAGCCATCCCCAGCTAGAAGAAGTGCAGAGTGAACAATCCATCTGAGGTTCACAACATTATACATGCCAGTCCTCAGGCAATTCAATCATCTCCAAAGATTAAATAGAAGACTTAGCATGAATACAAAGTTAAAGCCAGAATATTGAAGGTTGTGAAGATGTGCGCACCAAGACTAGCTATGCCTCAAACCAAATATTCCATAACTTATACCTGCACGCAAGACCTCCAAGAGGACATTCAGACTGACGACCTGACTCTGGAAAAACCTGCTCGCCATTAGCAAGACAAAAAGCAGGTGCATAATGAAGTACAATTGCTCCATCGTGCAAATTCAGAGCACTCAAGCTCAGCAACATAGTGGAATATAGCTTGCTGATTTGGCACTTTAGCAATCGCCACTCCACACTAACTGCACGTACAAACTGAGAAGCAGCAACTTGCCAAGATACATCAGGGTCACCCAAACATCTGAACTCTACCACCATGGAGGAAGAGGTAGTAAATACAAAAAGGAACAATCTCCAGGTTCCTCTCAAAATTAAACACCATCCCAACTTGAAATGTCTCTCCATTCTTTCAGAGTTTTGGCACTCCAAATTTTAAAAACATGGAAACTTCACAAGGACTGCAATATTCACAAAAGCAATTCACCACCTTCAAAGGCATCAGTGGATGCACAATAAATACTGGCCTTGCTCAGTTCTGATGCAAGAATTTAAACTGACATCAATTCAATCAATTTTGTTATCCTCTCCACATCTACACTATCAAGACCCCCACAGCCACTCATCTAATGCTTCAAATCAAGTTGCCCCTACCATTCTACAGTTTAGTGAATAGAACTATAACCTGTCCAACTTCCCTCCTAAAGCACCAATCCCTGTAGCATGCCATTTGTTATATCCTGCCAAGTTGAAACATCATGGGCTTTTAATTTGCTACATAACCCTTGATGCTGAACTTTGTCAAGTGCCTTCTAGAAATCCAAGCACAGTACATCTACCAGTTCCCCGTTGACATGACGCAATTCCTCCTCAAAACCCCTAGAACGGCTAAAAATGGTTTCACTTTCAAAAAAATCCATCAACTGCCCAATTACCTGGATCTTATCCAAGAGCTACAAGAGAATTTGTTTCAAGAGACAAAACTGCATCAAATCACAAGCAAATTGAGAACCACAAGATAGTTTGATTAGTTTCAAACTATACATCTCACGTCTTCAATTGCCAGCAATTTGAGCCGAGTATATCCTTAAACATTCAGGCTATGATTGCTTTCATCAAGACCAATGACTGAATGGAGTTATTTTTCTGATAAAAGGAAACAGGGACATTCGTTTTATTCACAAGGATGGCAAATCAAGCAAAAATGTTACGGTGCAAACACGTGAACCCTGGTCATCTAAAGATGTAAAGATTAAATGGCTAGATAATCAAACCATTAACATACTATGCAAAACTGTAAATTAACATGCAATTTGAAGTTAATACTAACTAATATCTCTATTTTTGCATTAAAAATATCCTCCTGAACTGTTTGCACAAATCACATACTGTGCAGCAGACTGCTATGTTTTAATTTAGTTTTTGGTGGAAAGTAAAAGCATTTCTTCCAAAGACTAGAAGAGTTGTAAATTATGCAGTTTGTCCTAAATCTAAAAAAGTTACTTTCCACTATTGGTCTTCTAATCAAATCTTCCACAGATTAGTTTTAAGCAGGCACCAATAGAATTACCCATCCAAAACAATGAGCACACACAACAGTAAAATGATTAAGTGTCTAATTATTTTTGATCAACTAGATTTGGTTCAGCAGGCAATTACCCTACCAAATTCATGGAATTTCCAGTCCTGAACACAAAGTATTGAGAACTATCAAATTTGGTAGATCAGTATAATTGGGGAGTCATAGACTTTAAACCTTAACTGTTTCTTCCTCCAGAAATGTTGCCAGACCAGAGGTTCTCCAGCATTGTTAGTTAGTGACCAACTTGGGAAATTTTTATTTCAAATTTCCAGCACCTGCAGTACTTCGCCATTAAAAATACAATTGGGCTTTCATGTTAGAAGTTGATAGTCTTAAGCACCAGAGCAGTTTTATATACTTTATAATACAAGTTGTCAAAACCAAAAGAAATTATTTTTCTACCACATTCAATAATGATTACTTACCAGAATCAAATGCAGGAAATCCCCCAAAAGGAGAAAAGAAAGATCCTCCGCCACCCCTGCTTCTTTCAACCCCTCGTCTACCACGTCGATTTCCAAAGAAATCATCAAAGGGATCATCCACTGTTCCAAAAACAACAAACTCGATTAGAGTCAGAGTTATACAGCAGAAAAGCAGGCCTATCTAGGCCAACCCACAAACACCAAAGTAAATTAACCCCATTTACATGCACTTGGTCCATTGCTGACCATGCCTTAGCATCTTAAATGCTCATCCAGATGCTTCTTACATGTTGAATATATTGCCTTCCCCACTGTCTCAGATAGCACATTCCACATTCTATTAACCTCTGGGTGAAGTGTTTTCCTCAGATCTCCACTAAACCACTTACGGCTCATCTTAAACTAGTGCCCTCTCAACTTAGATGTCTCTACCATGAGAGAAAGATTCTCAGTCTACCCTGTGCCTCTTGATTTTGTATAATCCAGATAACCTCTCCGCCTTCTCGGCTCTGGAAAAAAGGAAATCTAGCTTATCCAATCTCTCCTTGTAACAGATTTTCCATTCCAGGTACCATCCTGGCAAATTTCCTCTACAACCCTCTCCAGAGCAATCTCATCCTTTCAACATTGTGGCACCAGAACTGCCCGTAGTATTCCATCTGGGGCCTAACATATGCCCTAAAGTCACAAGATTACTTCCTTATTCCTTAATTCCACATTCCAGCTAACAAAGGCAAGCATCCCATTGGCCATCTCCAGCACTGTCTACCCGTGCCAACAGCTTCAAGGTTTTGCAGACTTGTTCACAAGTTCCCTTTGTTCCTCAGTACTTTAGGGACCTACCATTTGTGTATATCCCTCTTATTAGACCTCACAAAATGCATCAGCCCACACTTACCCCAAGATTAAATTCCATCTGTCATTGCTCTATCCAATTTACCAGCTGATCAGACTGTGACCACGCTCCACTATCAACATCAATTTTCATGTCATCTGCAAACTTAATTATACAATCTACATTCACACAAAGTTGTTTATATACATAACAGCTACACAGTGTGCCAGCACTGATCCATGTGGTACACTGCTGGTAAGAAGATTTCCAAAGGCAACCCTCCACCATCACCCTTTGCCTTAGATCCCATCTTACCTGTTTGATCCGTCTTCCATGTGGGACCTTGTCAAATGCCTTACTGAAGCCCATGTAAACCACACCAACTGCACTACCCTCAATAGCAAAAGCAATCCTTTCAAAAACCTCAAATCAGACAGGATCTCCCTCCAACAAATTTTTATTGTACTATGGTAAGGCTCAATTGTTTCAACATGTTCAGTCACTATGGAGTGAAGCTCAATTACATTTTAGGGCATGCTCTAGACCAGGCGTGGGGAACCTTCCTACATTTGGAAGGCCACATTTTATCCTATTAGGCCACATGCTAAGAATTTAACATATAGAAAGTCATTTCTGTCAACACATTTACTAATTTTAATTAAAGCCCGCTATTATGAGGACTTTAAACAAAATAAAAATTCAGCAAAGACATTTGTTAGGCAAAGTTAACACGACAACTAATGACTTTTTGTGATTGCTTATTGCAAGATAGGAATCAGATATTTGCTTCCAACATCGTTGACCGTAGCTTTAACGGGTCCTTCAGGTGAATGTCCATCATCTGAGATCTCAAGCGTGTTTTATGTTGTCACATATGAAAACGTTGATTCACAACAGTAGATTGTGCAAAAACAAGACAGCATTCAACAAGCATGTTGACGTAGGCATGGGTATTGAAAGACTTTTCCACATTACAATGGGTTCCTTCTTAGCGTCAAATAGAAACTTCAGAATAATATCAACCGATAGCTCAATCAATTCCATTTGCAAGTCTGATGCTTTGGAGACATCAACCAGGTGTGGTTGAAAAGCTAGATTCAGAGAGAAATTATGTTTCTCAAAATCAGCAAATCTTTCACTGTATTCTTCAATCATGAAGCCTAAACGTGTATTCTTTCACACTGCCTTAATGATTTTATTTCCTTAATGATTTGCTTGTATCCTGTTCATTAATTATCTTTGCCAGTTCAGGGAAGTGTTCAGCTGAAAGTTCCGATCGAGCGAGGACAGTTCAAGAAAAATCAGCTTTTTCGAAAATGCCTTGGTTTTTAGCCACTTCTCATTTTGCTTTGATATTATATCGCACCAAAATGCAGCATTTCTGCAAAAATCCTTTTGACAATTCAAATGGTTCGCTCAGCTCCTCAAAGATAAAAGTCGTACAAGTATAGTCCTTGTGACAACCAGTGTGCTTTAGAACGATACAGCAGATCCGTGCTGAAACATTTCACCAAGCTGAAACATGTTGCGAAGTTGGTGATGCCAGGATGCATCTGTTTGAATGTAGTTAACATTACCTATAAAACTTTATTTAATGGCTCCCTTAAAACTGCAGATTTAGCACAGAGATTCTGTTGATGCAGAAGACAATGTTAGGAAAACAAAGTATATGGATCTGGCAATTCTTTGTAGTAACACAATAAATCCTTCACGTTTCCTCTAATGGAAGGTGTAGTCTGTGCATACATCTACTAAATCATAAATTCAGTTTTGCTTCATGGCATTTTTCTTTGAAGACAGTGAAGATGTCAATTCCACACGTCTTCGCCGTTAACAAACGCAGTAATTCCAAGGCAATGAAAATCCACAGTTATAACACAAAAATAAACACCTGTGCTGAGTCAGTAACATCAGTGAATTCACCCAAGGCAGTCAAATAATAAACATCTTCACTTTGGTATGTTGTATGAAGTTGTTGTTACACAGAGGGCTAATTCATGCTGCCAGTAACGGTCCTTCTTGAAAGAGGTAGTTG